AAGGGAGAAAGAGGGAAATGGAGGAAGAGGTGAGGAAGTTCCCCCATCCCCTACGGGGGTCCATTTGGCCCCCCTTCCCTTGCAAGGGGGTCGCATGGAAGGAGAGGGGCTGAGGAGGGGTGAGGGCTGGGCGGGTTTTGGGGGGGTTGAGGGGTTGAGGGGGTCCTTGGAATGTGGGATAAAGCAGATGGATTTGAATGCAATGGGATCAGAAGGGTCTGGGGGAGGTGTTGGAGAGATAAGCAGGGGATGGGGGCTTATTGGGGGGGGGGGGTGACCTGGGAAGCAGGTGTTGGCTGGTTAGCACGGGGTGGGGCACGGGGTGGGTTAGCACGGGGTGGGGCACGGGGTGGTTTTAGCACAGGGTGGGGCACCGGGTGGGTTAGCACGGGGTGGGTTAGCACGGGGGTGGGGCACGGGGTGGGGCACGGGGTGGGTTAGCACGGGGTGGGGCACGGGGTGGGTTAGCACGGGGTGGGGCACGGGGTGGGTTAGCACAGGGTGGGGCACCGGGTGGGTTAGCACGGGGGTGGGGCACCGGGTGGGTTAGCACGGGGGTGGGGCACCGGGTGGGTTAGCACGGGGGTGGGGCACCGGGTGGGTATGCACGGGGTGGGTAACTACGCCCGAATGGGAAGAGGTGTGTCGTGGAGGTCGGCTCGCCCTGTGGGCTATCTGTTCATCTTTTGTCATGTATCTGTCAATAAACATGTTAATTAGTTTTCACTATCTCTGAGTAAATGTTTGTGTCGCAGTATGTAATCCACTGCCTCTTCGTTAGTGAACTGTACCAGGACAGGTCGTTTCTTGGTACAGTTGTGAGCCCCAATGTGGCGGTGGATTTCCACCTCATTCCCTGCCATCTCGGCTCTAATATCTCTCAAGATCATCTGTAACTCAAAATCTTCAATCTCCATCCTCTCCTGCTTCGAAGCTGCCTTGGCTTCGAGTAACCCATGACGTATGATTGACCTCCTCCTCAGTGAAGCACTCTCATGCTGGTTGCCCCTCCCCTGGACACTCCCCATCCCTCCCACACTCGCTCCTCCATCCCCCACTACTCCCCCTTCCCTTGCCATGTTTCCCTTATTTCTGCCAAATTCAGTTGCTAGGTTAGTTATTTCACTTTCCCATGCTACCCTGTTCTTTCTGATTTCATCTTGAATATAGTCCATAAACTCTCGTTTTTGTCTCTGAACCTTGTCCTGTATCTTATTAGAGATTTCACTTTTAATCCCCTGGATCAGACCCTCTATCCAAACATCCCTCTTCTCTACAATACTCTTCTCTCTTCTTCTCTGTGTGTGTGCGCGCGCGCTTGCACGTTCTGGTGTATTATACCATCTTCATTAAACACAAATTAAGCTGGATAGTAATCTTTTTTGTACACAAAGAATGTTAAACAGTAAAACCTTGAATGATCAATATTATTCCGTTCCCAGACTTGGTCAATACTGTGTTACTGGTTCCCAGACTTGGTCAATACTGTGTTACTGGTTCCCAGACTTGGTCAATACTGTGTTACTGGTTCCCAGACTTGGTCAATACCGTGTTACTGGTTCCCAGACTTGGTCAATACTGTGTTACTGGTTCCCAGACTTGGTCAATACTGTGTTACTGGTTCCCTGACTTGGTCAATACTGTGTTACTGGTTCCAGACAGGGTCAATACTGTGTTACTGGTTCCCAGACTTGGTCAATACTGTGTTACTGGTTCCCAGACTTGGTCAATACTGTGTTACTGGTTCCCAGACTTGGTCAATACTGTGTTACTGGTTCCCAGACAGGGTCAATACTGTGTTACTGGTTCCCAGACAGGGTCAATACTGTGTTACTGGTTCCCAGACTTGGTCAATACTGTGTTACTGGTTCCCAGACTTGGTCAATACTGTGTTACTGGTTCCCAGACTTGGTCAATACTGTGTTACTGGTTCCCAGACTTGGTCAATACTGTGTTACTGGTTCCCAGACTTGGTCAATACCGTGTTACTGGTTCCCAGACTTGGTCAATACTGTGTTACTGGTTCCCAGACTTGGTCAATACTGTGTTACTGGTTCCCTGACTTGGTCAATACTGTGTTACTGGTTCCAGACAGGGTCAATACTGTGTTACTGGTTCCCA